GATAATATCATTATTAGTAGTAGTCTGGAATACCAATAATTGAAAGACAGTACCTTTAAAAACAAGAAAATAATATATACAGAGAAAAGATGCAAACATTATGACGCAAAATGTGCTGTAATGTTTCATAATATATGTACGTATATACAAAATTTGACAACAATCGGTCCAGTAGTTTTGGTGAATATTATCTGTGTAATAAAAATCGACACAGGCAGACGGTGGATGGACGGACGGACGGCCAAGCAGACGGAAACGGGAGACCACGTTTTTCGGACTCTATGGATCATGAAACGTCGAGAAAACATCAAACTGACAGTCGCCGATGGACTTGATTACTATACTTTCTTGGCTTCCGCTCGAGAAGTAAAAATAACATTATTGTATGGATTGCTTACGTATCGAATGCAAGTTGTTAGCCAACCCTATGTATTCACTTACTACTCTAGACGAGCTGCACAATTTGGTGCTAGTTAGATGCTTCCATGATTGCCTTGAGGTAAGTAGATATATCGAATTTGCTGCGAAAGAGAACCCTCTCCCTGCCGTCTCATCAAGATATCCAGATATACAGGTTGTCCCAGATAAAACTCCGCATGCCTAATATTTTTGAGAGCGGATGGAAATACTGAGATTCTGTACACACCATTATTTTTAGCTTTAAGGCGACGTTTAATTTCGTACATTGCAAATATAACGCCAACCCATGTTTTTTTTTTAATTGAAACGTATACATTTTTAACGAATTTTGGTAGATCATTAAATTACAATTACAATGATAAACTTATTAGGAAAGGAAAAAATAAAAGTTATAAATATAAAAAAATAATTTGAGTGAAATTTAGTACTACCAGTTTATTTTAAAAAATATTACTAAAATCTGTTTCAAGCATATGTTCGACTGGTCAATCTTCGCAGTGAATATAAATTGTCTTATTGTTTCGCCATTAATAACATAATACCGTATCAATCTTTTAAATCAGGCAAGGGTTGGAGATAGCCAAATCTGTTGTGTATCGTCACCGTTGGCCACCGAGTAGGACCTCTATTATCCAGTATCCATATATGCGTCATATTTACAATATATTAATTAAGCTTCCCCTTTCAATATAAAAACAATGGCGTTTACAGAATTTAAATATCTCTATCCGTTCTGAAGATATAAGATCGGGGAGTTTTATTTGGAACTCTGTATATTACCTTTTTTAAAAGTCTCACCCCCTCAAAATGAGCAGTGATTTTACGCTCGCCGCTTTGACTATTATAGGAAAAAAGCTATAACTTGAATTCATAGTTTCCTACTAATTAGAAAATTGCCTTTTACAAAAATACTACCATTCAGCAACTGGGATCAGTTGATGGCCCCTCCGTTACTCTTAAATGATCTATATTTATGAAGAAAACTAATTGTTGTGGTAAATAACCATCAGTTGACAATAAGTAAGTAGTAACCAAAGACTGAAAAATTTAATTTTCGTCATAAAAAAAGTTATCCAAAAGTTGAAGCTTTTCTTAAACCTCCAAACGTCTTAATATGGACGACTCCTGTGTTGATCTGTTAAATTTGATTAACAATGTTAGTTTCTAGGCTGTGTCTAATTTTAAGTCACAAAATCTCATACAAGTGCTAAAATGGTGGTAATTTTTAAGTTAAATTCGTTGACGACTTACTATAAAGTAAGGTTAACGTTGAGTTCACAAGCTCTCAAATTAAGAAAACAGTAAAGTGAGTGCCGAAAAAAGTTGTTGAGGACATTTAATAATAGTAATATTCGAAAGTTACAATATATATTAAAAGTAATAAATATCGGGACTTTTAATCATGCTTGGCGGTCTGTTCTCAGGTCACCATTGTAGGTTTTTATTTAAAAACATTCCAAGTTGTAGTTTTTCACACTTCACTAACATTTTACACTTAGGCATATTGTTGAAAGTTAGGTTTTGTAGTCATCGCAGATTTTCAGCACGCTTCACACATTTTTTGGTGTTAATAAAGTCTAGTATTTTCGGCACAACTTTGTTATGATTCACAGTTAATATTAACCTAAAAATATCATTCTTTTTTGGTCAATCACCCCTACTTATAATTTAGCGTTTATGTAACTTGTAACAATTCGGATTGCTGAAACCACAAACAGGAGGGGTGCTGTACTTAATTTGTGTTTTAAACTTATTTTGTGATTTTAACCAACCAAGTAGAAGGACTATAAAAATGCTCCAACAAAAAACTCAAACAGAATACTAACGAAGTTGGAAAGTTTCTTTCCGAGTATAAACAACTCTTGTTCTGACATTCTCTCGATTGGATAATTTTGGATAATGAACATGTGGGTGGTAGGCGTACAAATTAAGCAAAAATGCAAATATGGCAATGTTAGGTTTTTGTTGCCACTTTTTATCGTTCTTCTCTCATTAAGCGACAGTTAATACAAGCAGAAAAAAGAGAGAGAGGCACGTATACACTTACATTAATATCTGTCGCAGCCGTTAAGTCGGATGACTCCAGTCACAATTTATGATGATAGCTAACAAGCGCATGTTCCTTGTTTCTTTAGAGGTTTGTAATTCTTTCGTATTTGTATGATGAACGATTTCCTGCCTACACTCTACGCGATTGCAATTTTCTCCAGAATCTTTGATTTCTAAATCAGAATTGCAAATTTATTATTTAAACGCGACCTCATCCTTCATCACCTACCTGTTTTATGTGTTGGTGTTACCTTCTTTCTTGGGAGAGATAATTAAAGAGAAAATTGTTTTCCACTGTCGTCGTGTACGTTAGAACTAAAGTTGGAAAGCAGTCACACCTATAAATACTTAAATAATAAAGTTACTTCTGAACCGTTAACAAGTTTTATTCTAAGCTTAGAAACATGTGACCACGACGGAAAATAAGCAGCTTTTACACTTAATGTATAAAGTATAATTTTATACTGTACGAGTACATATTTAATTTTAATATTTGAAGATAATTGTAATAAAACCCACTGATTTATCGCTAGTTACAAGAAACAATAAGGCGACGTGTATTAAATAAATAAATGAAATTAAATCTAGTGTAGCTGCCTTCTTACTAAATAGAATACACCTAACTTGTTGAGTACTTTGAACAGCTCTGGGTCACACGAATTACAATTATAGTGAAGCAAGATTTTTATTGGCATGGACTATTTAAATATAGCGCTTACCTTTGGCGGTTGAGAATTTTCATGTGTACGGGCAAGTCCTTGTTTTGCAGTATCACCAATATAAACCCCAAAAACCCCAAATAACAAAATCTCTGTCGTCCCTGGCCTGGCTGTCATTGACGTTTTTTTGGGTTAGGATTTAATACCGGTAATTTCAGATACCTGAATCATCAGAACTCAATAATAGGACGCCAATCGAGTAAAGACAGCAAGTGTTCAAAGTTTTTGCCTGTTCTGTGGTTTTTGCTTGTTTTTTGTAGCGTTTTTTTCTAGTAGTATTCTTAAAGTTTCAACAGTTGTGTCCAAGTGTGTGTCCTTGTTGTGTTGAAATTCTCATTTTGTACCTATATATAAAAAAAAAACAAAAAGCAAAAATGAGAATCACCGTAAATTTGAGCTTATTTTTTCACGATCATCGGTGTTTGGCTAAAATTTTCGTTAATAAAAAGATGAAATGCATCAGAAACGTTGAAGAACGCATTAGTGCCGTTTTTAATATAGAAAATTTCTATTTAAAATGTGAAAATGTGTATCTTCCGCCAACAGAGGATGTTCAGATACTTAATTATGATGATGTTGTATGGTACCTACATGTGTTTTATGGTATCTTATGTTTAGAATCTATGGCTGTTATTTTAGGGTAATACCATCAGTACATGGTTCATCGAATGTGGATGTCATACCTCAAAATCACGAAATTCTGGAGGAATTCAACATCGTCATCCCAAAGAAGAAAAAAAAGAAAAATAGGCTTTGTGTTGATACAAAAGAAGAAAATGAAAATATACCCAAAAAGAAGAAAAGACAGGAAAGTTCTGATAATGTAATGGAAGTAGATGTTTCTGTAACTGAGGAGAAAAACAATAAAAAGAACAAGAAGAAAAAGAAGAAACACGGAGTATATAAAAATGTAGAAGTTTCTAACGATTCAGTTCAAGAAAACGAAGACTTACATGAAATTGATGGTAATTCAGGTAAAAATAAAAGGCAAAAGTTTGATGGAGCCCTGTAAAATTTTGTCCTTATAGGTCTAATGCAGAAAAGTTCAGGTCGTGATTCTTTAGATAGTTCAAAAAGTGCTAAATCCCCTAAAAGTGTGAATAATAGTGTAAACCGTTTGGTGAATCAATTCGAAAAAAGTAAAAATAGTTTGACTGAAACTCCAACTGAACTAGAAAGGAAAATCAATATTGCTAAAACAATTATAATTTCAAATAAACCAACTCTATGTTCATTTCCTGATGTTAAACAAACCGAAGCTTGTGAAGAAGAAAAAAACGACACATGTAATAATGTGTCGCTACACGTAGAAAATTTAAATAAAAATGATGAGCTTCAGGCAGATGAAAGTTCAAGTAGTGCAGAAACGTCAAGTGTCTGTATTAATAATGTGACTGATTTTGATGCAAATGTTAATAAGAGAAAACGAAGAAGGACTCGAAAAAGGAAATCACGGGTCGAAAATACAAGTGAATTTTCCACAACAGATGAGCAACCTGTTCATAATTTCATTCATAAGCCCGTGATTGTACAAACTCGCATTTCTACACATCTAAGATTTACTGATGTACAACCATCTACGAAAAAAGATGTACTTTTCCCAGCTGAATCAAGGGTTGATAAAGTTATTACAAAGGAAGCATTAGGTAAAGTTATTGTCTTAAGTGAACCACTAGCAAAGCAGTCAGTGCCGGCCAGTGATGCAATTGGTGAGAATACTAAAGAAAAAGTCACCATAAAGGATTTGTTATATGAAGCTGTGGTTTTAAATGAATCATCAGAGAAAAAAGACAAAACAAAAACCATATATAGTGACAAAGAATTAGAAGAATGTATTTTAAAACAACCAATTACTCAACATTTAGAACCAAGAGTGGGAGATGTCCTAGCTTTTAAAGTAAACTAAATTACATTATTTTAAACTTTGTGTAATTTTTTCATAGATTCTCAGAATGTCCGAAAACTATACTCCTGAAGTTTCTAAGCCTATAGTACCTAGGGAAGGTGATTAGCTATAATGAAAATAAGGAAATTACCTTCAACATTGTGTGTAAGTGTTTTAAGCACTTTAACTTAGTTGATTGGGACTAAAGTAAACATTCACTTTCATTACTTAAATGTTGATTTTTAGATGGTCATGAACAATGTTTGCCACCTAAAGGAAAATTTTCTCTAGATGAGGAAGAACATGAATTAAATGAAAATTCCCACTTCCAGTGTTTGTGGCCCACTTTATTGGAACCCAGGTTGGTTTATCCATGAAATTGTTATTGTTTATTTGTCAATTTTTCATTAATTTATAATTTTGTAATTAATAATATTCTTTAATAAAGTTAATTGTTCCTACATTATAAACTACTTAATATTTTTATACTCACAGAAGAGAAACGGTATATACTCAGGATCACGAAGCAATGCGTACACGTCATGGATGACGTAGATCCGTTACCAACACTAAATCAAAAATACGCGCCGCAATACATGGCAATACGGATCAAAATCGATCAATTTGGGGTAAATTATATTGGTACGACTGATAGCGAAACATATGCTAAAGTTTTATCGATTTCACAAGTGTCATTGGTGTCAACTTTGGTTATGTTGTGTTATTGTTTGATTTTTCGCGTTTTTCTACTTTTCTGCTCATGTAATCGTATCAGTTCTTTTCAGAACTATAACAGTTCTTTTTAGAACTCCAAGTTAACTGTCCTGTACCGTGGTACGTGTCGCTTGCTTGAACGTAAACATTCCACCATGCCGAAGCCCTTGCACAAAGATGTAAAGCAAATGGACGATAATTTAGTGGACTATTTTGCTAAAGAACGCGATAGCGGGGGACCTCTTTTACCACTAACAGCTGTTCAAGACGTAAGTCGGTGTATTTTATTACAATTAGTAATGCAGTCACATTGTACAGAGGGTTGCTGCTGCTCTGGGTGTATGTGTGCGAACAGTGAACTCCGTGGTACAACAAATAAAAACCGGGGAAGGTGTACATTCTCCCAAGAAATAGAGACCCCCGAACACAGCAAGTTTGTGATATTAGAACTTTGGAGCAGTGTGCTATTCGAGAATGCTTATATGGAATGGTCGAAAAAAGTATGAATTTGACGCGCACGCCTTATACATAGATACTAACGATTATTTTACAGAAATACATGTTACACGATCGCCATTAATTGATTGCTTGAAGTAGAAACATATATTTGAGGGTTCTGTAAACTCGTTAGGAAAAATTTTACCTTCTCTATTGGGTTTCGTTATTCGCCAACCAGTGTACGGAAGCGTCTTATGGAATTACAAAATGTTGTTCATGCAAGAACCAAATTCTTACGTGAATACATGCACAATCAGCAGAACCCAAATCCTTTGCCATGTGTATATCTTGATGAAACATGGATATTTGAAAATGGTTCGGTAGTTAGGTCATTGCAAGTCGATGGTGTCAAAAGTATCAGGATGTTCAAAATAGAAGGGAAAATTTAGTAATGTGTCAGTTTCACGTTAGTTATTTATTCTTCTCACTATATTTTAGGTATATTGTATTACATGCAGGTACAAGCAATGGATTTATTGATGAAGCAGCGCTAGTATTTTCTTCTAATACCAAAAATCCAGACTATCATGGTCGAAATGAATCAACAGAATTTTCTCAAGTGGTTTCAATTGCTCATGAATCTTGAAGAACCATCACTGATTATTATAGACAATGCAAGCTACCACAGTACCCTTGCAATCAAATGTCCCAGTGGTTCATGGAAAAAAGCAGAAATTCGTGAATGCCTTTAACAACATGACATAAGTTCAGATTCACAGCTGTTAAAAACGGAACTTCTTCATTTGGTTGCACAGTAATGCATATACCATTCTCTATCGTTTCATTTAAAATATCATATTTTTCAGAAATAAACCTCCAAAAACGTATGTTGCCATGAATTGGGCCAACAGAATGGCCATAGAGTATTGCGATTGCCGCCATATCATTGTGTGTTTAACCCTATAGAAAATATTTGGGGAATTACTACAAATTTTTATTCCAAACACATTGGGCGTGATGGTTATGGTCAAAAAATTCCGTGGAAATGTGGAAAAAAGCGTTAGCACATGTCACGCCCACAATGTGGAAAAATACTGTTGACCATATGAATAAAATAATACGGGAGTGGTGGGAACGGGAATTAGTATTTGACCGTGAAGAGATTGCGCCGTTTATAATCGACATTAATGAAGATTCAGATTATAGTTTTAGTGATTATGACAGTGAAGATTCTAATACTGCAGATGGCATTCAGCCACTGTAACATGTAGGTTATTTTCCATTACCATCCTAATTGATTGTACTGGCGGCATGTTCTGCTGATGTCTTTTATAATCACACTATCACTTCACTGGCCAAATATACAAATCACTGGTCAGACGACGACGTTGTGCAACATGCATACTTATTATTGTTTATACTTTACTTTTGTATCTATTCCATGTCAATAAAGTAACTTATTCTGTAGATGTGACGTGCCTATTGTGGCATTGAAGACGGTAAGCATATTTCTCTAACTTGAAGCCTGTCACAACTGTTCAATGCTGTCTGTTTGAGACGTATTTTAACATTCTCGTTGGTAGCTTTAAGTACAGTATGAAGCCTTGTACCACCCTCCAAGTATGTGTTTAACACCCAATTGTCAACAGTTTTTACCAGCAGTCAATGCAAAAATGAACGTTTTTAAAGCCAGTCATTCACGTTCCAACGCCGGGGTACGATTGTATTGGATAAAACTGCTGTATAATTCTGCTGACAAGCAGCAGTACACACACGTTACGACCTTGCAGTTAAAAATTTGCAATCGTGGTGGCAACATGTCCGAAGAAAATGGACTTTTATACCTGCTTTCACGGTTTGTATAACGTACACTGTCCACACGATCAAATTTACATCGAATACAACACGATTGTACTGCTGCAAACAGACTTGTTCACCAACCGTCCACATCCAACCGATTTGCTTGTCGCATACACATACGTTCAAAAACACTTCAATTTCGTCATACCCTACACAATTGTACCGCGGCGTTGGAACGTGAGTGGCAGGCTTCAGTGACTAGGAATACGTGAAAGAGGTTACAGTCATGATCTTTCCTGTGCCTGAGTTTGTAATTCATAGCGTCTATGCAGCCTGCAGCATGCCCTTGTGTGCTGAAACACTGCAAGTGTAGCTTATTTCTTAACTGTTGCTTCACACTAACGGTCTTCTCATGCTATAATCATAAATAGAACAAACCAAAACAATAACAAGCCGACATGTTTGTTGACAGTTTTCAAACCGATTCATTTGTATGATAAACGTGGTAGACGCATGACGTCATACAGAGTCCGTGACGTGTACGCATTGCTTCGTGATCCTGACTATACTTCTATTTGCTTCATATACTAGTGGCAGTTAGAATATAATTTTGATTAATTTTCAGAAGTTTTGATACGCTATTATCTATTTTATTAATTCTTTCAATACAAAAAACAAAAATCAAAGCTTGTTTAACATATGTACTAGTGTTTTAACACCCCCTACAATTGCAGGTACGTATTTTTGACAGGTTTGTTTACAGGCTTTTGAAATGACGTCATCAGCTCCTTAGCAGTGATGAATACGTACATTCATTTTTTAATAAGTAAAAACTCAAAACCAATTTTAATATTATCTGTCGTTTTGCCAAAATTTTGATATTTTGACTGAACTATTTATGATATAATATTACATACATATATGATATAAATTTAATTTTCAGACATTATAAGCAAATAAAAAAAGTAAAAACATACGAAATACTGCGTCTGAGATGTTTTAATAAATAATAAACTTGTGTTTAAGAGATGTCGGGTGTTTAATTGAAAAAGTCATCAAGTTGGCCTTCATTTTAGTAAACATTGTGAAGTATGTCCACAAATAACCTAAAATTTAATCGATGACAGCCGACAACGTGGAAATGTTAGTTACATACAATAGTATGGGTTAATAAAATATATGGGTTTTTCGCTATTTTTTCTTGTGATTCAATTTATCTTTAAATTGTCCAATTACTTTCATATTGTTATCAGAACATAATGGATGAGGACTGTGTCCGTCAAAAAAGCAACGCCAACTTAGTGACTTTTTCAACTGACTATCTTGTCGTGGACTGTGAAGAAACTTTGACGAAAATTACAAATCATAATGACAAAGACACCCGTCTAATTTAAGTAATTTAGGACAGTAAGTAACTTAGGTCAAAGTTCTACCTACGATAACATTAATTTGTCAATTCTCTTTATACAACCTGTTTATTAAACATGCGCCGAAAATTTATAATTTTTTTGGGTTATTTTAAAAAATGTTTATTCCTTGGACAACTAATACAACTAATAGTGTTCTGGAACAAAAAATGAAGATCATCATAGTTAGTTTAATATAAGTTCGACCTAAAAGATTCAATGTTATGACTAGATAATATTGAAACATACTGTTAATTCATCCATTCTATGTGATTGCTATGAAATTCAGAATTAAATACATATTGATAATCCCATCATTGTCATTGGAGAGAAAGACGAAGATACGAAGAAATAATGAAAAGGTTAAGTAGGAGGAAATCTAAAAATCTTAGAAGTAGAAAAAAGGAACAAAAACCCTAGGTTTATAAGATGTCTGTATTTAACTTGCAGATTATGTAATTAGTTCAAAATAAACGTTTCATAACAAAATGTTGATATTTAAATTCACTTGTTGACAATATTATTGCACGAGTGTTTTTGTAACTTATTCCAATATAAAAATGTTTCAAAGATTAACATGTTCTATCACTTTTGCATAATACAAACACTATTGATTTAAATGGTGGAACCCAAAAAATACCTACTTCCTAATCATAAAGTCAAATACTTTAAAACATCAAATTACGATCATTACAAACACGACCTTATTATCCCCTCAACAAGCTGCAGACCTGTTTCAACAGTTACGGTGTTATCTGCTTGAACTAGACTAATCTACTTACTAATTATTCCTTATTCTTTACTCTTCTTTCGGTTCCTCTTATCTGAATTCTCTCTCCCAACAAGGGCGAAGAGAGCTTAATGCGAATGCTTTCCATTTATTCTTAAACATCTCTAAATTATAAAAATATTAAAAAAATAATAATTTGGCAAAAAAAATTGCCTTTTCGAATATATTGAAAACTCGGAAGTATGT